ACCCCCACGAGGCAAGTGCATTTTTATTCTCCGTCGTCCTTCTCCCTTCATCGTGAAACCCACCTTAACTTCAGACCCCCCCTCCCTCCCTTTAGGTCCTCCGCACCCGACTCCGAGAAACGCCGCCAAACGGCATTCCCAAATACACCGGTCTGTGGCAAAGCGCGACGCTGATCGCCAAGGAAGAAGGGATAGCGGCATTGTACGGCGGCATGACGGCGCATCTGATGCGAGTCGTCCCGAACGCCGCGATCATGTTCTTCTGCTACGAGTTGGTGGTCTCGATGGGGACGAAGGAGGAAAAGCACTGACCTCCCCAATGAAAAGGTGGCTAGAGGGAGGGAGGGGAGAGTGAGACCCCCGCCGCATGTTTTTGCGACGTTTATTCCATCCACCTTGATTATATTTTTTTTTGTCAAAATGTTTTGTCTCCTCCTCTCCTCTCCTCCCCCTTCCCCTCCCCCATCCTCACTCGCTTGTTGTTTCGATTATACATGACCATTTGGGCTTTCACGCACCTCTAAACTGTCCCGAGAATCTGGCATTGGTGCGAACGTTGATCGTGAAGGTCGATGGTTTAGCAATGCACTAACGAAGTTGGACCCAAAGCGCACGACAAGGCAAGATGGATATACAAATGCAACGTCAATGTTCCTGTTTTTTTTATTGGTCTTTGTTTTCCTATCATCGTTGCCCCTGGTGCTCCCCGCCGCCGGCGGGCCCACTCGCGCCGAGGATCTGCCCCGCCAACAACGCATCGGCTAGGACATAAATCTCCTCGTCCGACGCATCGACGATCATGTCGCGTGCAAAGATCCTGGGCCCCATGTACGCGCGCTCGACACAGTCATAATCGACGTCAGGGGCCTCGGCGAGCCAAACGAGGTCGCTGTCGGCATCGTCTTCGCATGCGGAGAGGTCAAGCGCGTCGAGGGAGGGGTCGAACGCCGGGTGCGCAGACGTCCCTCGCGGCGAGCCCGATGAGTCGGAATCTGCTTCTTCGTCGGCATCATCGTCGTCCTCAGATAACGACGGGAGAGAGCTCGACATGCGTGGTGCCGCGGCGGAGACGGGCGGGATCGGGTGCGCACGCCGGGTTGGGACGGTCGCGGGTGCGGAGCCCGCCGCCGTGTCTTCGCGCGATGCCACCGGTGCGGCCTCGCCTAGCGCCGAGACAGACGCGAGTCCCGCTACCTGTGGTGGGCCGGCCCGCACGACCCCACCACTTGCGCGCCGCCGCTGCCGCCCCCCGGTCCCTGCTCGCCGCGCCAGCTCGCGGTAGTACGTGCATGGGCGGTCGGTAAGGTTGTATGGCGGACCAATAACGTCGAGGATCATCACCTCGGGGGACGCGGCAGTGAAGGAGTGCATATTAGGACCGCCGTCGGGCCGGATGACGAGGAGGGAGTCGGGGGAGGTCGAGGGGATGGTGCGGGTTCGGGAGGCGTGGGCGGAACGGACTGGGATCGGTCGTTTCAGTCGTGGGAAAATCCAGGCTCGGTTTTTCATCACGGCTAGCCCTCCCTGCCCCCCAGCCTCAGGCCTTCACTTACCCTTAACAAGCTCTCCGGATTCCGGATCGACAACCGTATGCGGGCTAAAGGGACCATAATATAACCGAGTCAGGATAAAGACCCTACCCTCACTGAATGGTCCGGATGAAAAGACAGCAAACAACACAGTACCCTGATTCATCCTCTGCAAACTGATACGTGCGCACGCGCAAGTCTCCGCGAATGACCTTGCTATTGTCGCACAGACAAATCACGATCAGTCCGCGAGAACTTTGTCAACCCCCAAACAAAGCACTCACTCCACCCGCTGCACCCACCCGCCTTGAAGCCACCTCCCACCAGCACCTCACCTAAACACCATCATCTGCGGATGATCATGCGTGGGCATGGTCGTCCCACCCTTCAACGCAAACACGCACAACGTAAATACATCCGACTCGTAGATGTTGTAGTATTCGACGGGGTCGATAACTTTTACGTGCTGCATGACAAAAGAAATGGTGGGGGGGGGGAGGGGGGTCAATTCGCTCTGTTACCATCACCGACACCACGTGTCCGGCAGCGCATCCTGCGCGAGATCGGTGGCGGGTTGGAGAGGGGTGGGGTGGGGTTGATGAGGTAGCTGGGGTGCTTGAGGCAAATTGTGCGCCAAGATCCCATCCACCCACGCGGCCCCCGTCCGTCGTTCTCCTTTCCCGCATCCACCCGGTGGACTCCACACACACCTGCAGATTCAATTGCTCGGTGGTGACCAGCTTGACGAGGCAACCCAGCTTTTCCGCGATGACTTCTCTTTGCGGATGGGGTTCGGGAAAGCGGGAAAACAGCCTGTGGGCGAGGAGGCCGATCGTGTGGAGAAGTGACATGGGGGGGGAGTGGGTGTCGCGTTTTTGTGGATGAGTTGAGATCCTGGAATTGCCGGGAAATAGCGGACAGAGTGGGAGGGAAACGGGAGTAATTGGAAGGAGGGTGTGGGAGGTTGTGTGTGAGGGGGAGATAGGGGAACAGAGAAGATGGTGCAGAACGTTGGTGGGTTGGCAGATGACGAGGAGGGGGAGAGGGAAAGCGGCCAAGGTGGGGCCGCAAAGGGCAACCAACTCCGATTGCGCCCCCGATCAATCAATCAATCATCGATTCCTCTCCAAGTAACCTTCCTCCGGTTTCGTCCCGCGAGATACCCTTTTGCATCTCAGAGGTAAGGAAGGCTCCGGGACAACGGTGTCCACTCCGCCTCCGTCGTTGGCGGGGCGGCGGAGGGGGGGACTTGACTGACAGATGAACATTTTCATGAATTCCTAGCGTGATCAAGGGTTATAGCCGCAACCCATCGATGTTTGACATCAAAGCGGCCCGGCTAGCTCAATCGGTAGAGCGTGAGACTCTTACTCCGGTGACATCTCAAGGTTGCGGGTTCGACCCCCGCGTTGGGCTTTTGAAATCTGCTCCCCTTATTTGTTTTTTCAGCATGAATCCCATTTGCCCGCCCGCCACTCCTGTGATCAAGGGCCTGTCCTCAACAGCAGCAGCATTAGCTCTAGCATCCAGTGTTCCAGAGGATTTTGGGAGGCTGGAGATGCGAGAGGGAAGGAAGTGCGAAGCGGCAGAGGAGAGCGGTTGGATATTGGCCGTTCCCATCGTTCCGAGTGGAGGAGCTGTTACAAGAGTCGCGCCCACAAAGCTCGAAAACCAGACGCTTGAACGCTCCAGCCAGCCAGCCAGAATTTTTTTCTTCCAACACCAGTTCACACTCCCCATCTCCAAAATGCTTCTTAAATCCCTTGCCGTCCCTCTGGCCTTCACGCTCCAAATCTTCGCGATCCTCGCTGCGCCATCCGGATTCCCCGACTGCCAACACTGCGTCAGTGATGAACCTCCCACCCTCGCGATTCCATCCCTTTTTGGAACACCCAACGTCTTTCATGCTGACATCTTCCCGCCTCCAACGCTCCCCTCGCCCGTCCCACATGAGCAGGTCCCAAATCCATACTGGGGCGCCGACAACCGCCCCTATGGGTTCCAAAATGGGCGGTCCTGCGTCGCGGTCCTGTGGGACGACTGCCAGCCTGAACCCGTTGCGGCGGGTGGCGTTGGTGCGGAAACACCGTCCGCGAGTCAGAACGCCAGCACTGCGTCAGTGTGCTTTTTTCCGGTGGACGGGGTGGGGTGGACGAAAAAAATCCTTCACTGTTCATTTATCGTCCCTCTCATGAAACTTTTTACAGATCGATCGTTCCTTCCACATCGCCAACGCCGTCGCCCTCACCGTCTTTGACACCTCCGTCGCAAAGGAGTGCGTCCCGTGATGCGATCGACGCTGCCATCGAATGACGGGACTTTTTCCGGCGGGGGGAAGGGG